TCTCTGCCTACAGGCTTCAGTCAGGGTGATGAGCCCATGACAAAGTCCAGGCCCTGTCATAACTAGCCCAGGAGGAGCCGTTTACGAGGTTCTTAAGTGGCATCCAGCCTGGCAGCTCCTGGTAGGAAGAGACTGTGCCCTCTGCTCTCAGGCCCCCGGCGGTCCAGCCAGTGTCTGTCCCAGAGTAGGTACTCAGGAAATTCAATGTCATTGCCTTAATTCCCACACCCCCATCTCTCCCTGCTGTGAAGTCAGTATTATCCTCCCTGTGTAACTCTTTTCTGATGCCTACTGTGTGCTCAGCAACGTGCCAGGCACTGGGGACACATCAGTGAATAAGACTGACCCCCCGCCCTCGTAGAACTCAGTCGACTTGGGAAGAGAGACTCTGTGCACTCATGTTAGAGCTCTGGGCACAGCCACGGCTGCTCTGCAGTATGCCACAGGGAGACCCTGCCTCGTCTGGGAATTCAGGGAAGGAACCCCAGGCTAAGGGGCATTAGGCTGAAACCTGAAGGATGGGAAGGAGTTCTCGGGGTGAAGTGAGGGGTTAGAGCTTCCCAGCAGAGGGAACAGTAGGGAAGATCATGGTCTTTTCAAGGAATAGAGGTATAGCCAGTATGGTGAAGGAGCAGAGACTATCCAGGAAAGGCAGATAGCGTGGGATGAGGTTGGGGACAGCAGCAGGAGCGAGAGAATGCAGGTCATTTTAAGAATTTGGAACCTTATCTTGAGGGTAGTGAGGAGGCACTGAAGAGTATGTGGTGGGGGGGGGGCGGGGAGTGTCAATCCCAGTCATGTTCCTCAAAGATGAGGGTAGAGTGACTGCAGAGTGTAGAATGGCCCAGAGTGAGTCAAACCTAGATCTCAGGTAAGGGATTATGTGATGAACACATGGATGAATATATTTAAGAGGTAGAATCCACAGGACCAGGTAGTTGCTTGTACATGGGGAAAGAAGGCAGGACTCAGCCCATCTAGGTGGGCTGGAGCGACAGTCTCTGAGGGAGCAATCACCGGGGGAGAAGGGGCTGGTGGGGAAGGTAACGAGTTCAGTGTAGACAAAGTGAGGGATGACAAACACAGGTGTTGGGGAAGTTGGCTGCAGGAACCCAGGGCTCAGGGATTTTGATTTCCATTGGAAGCTGATGGTATAAATGAAGGCTTAGAAGCGAATCAGCTTGTTTAGGGATAGGGTACAGAAGGATAACAGAATAGGGCTTAAGGACGGAGAGCCCTGGGAACCCCCAAATTAATAACTGGGGTGGGGGGAGGAGCTGACAAAGGAGACAAAGGGAGAGAAGGCGCACCTGATCAACTAACTGATTCAAGGTGACATAGCCATGGTTTGAGCCGGGTTTGATTCCACCCTGGGTGCTTTCTGGAGGTTTCTGCCCTCATGGAGGCTGACTTGCCCAGGCTCATCCAGCTATTGACAGGGAATTTAGGACTCAAACCCAGACCTTCCAGCTCCAGGCTCAGTCAACTACACCCCATCATCTCCTAAGTTAGGATTTATTCTTATAATTTGAAAAGTCACTGTCCCACGTGTCATTCTGGATGCATTGTCTCAGCCGTGTCAGAAACTATGCTCTTGAGGTGCAGCGGACCTCGCACAAGCCCCTGAGACACAGAGGAGCCCCTTAAGTGGCTGCTCTCTGAGTCCAGAGTCTAAGCCCAAACGTAACCCTCCGTGACGGAGCACGGTTTCTGATGATACGGGGAATGCAGAGAGGAAGACTTGGGCCCCCTGGGAACTCCGCTCCTGGGAAGCATGTCTGGACCCCTGGGCCTTGGCTTCCTCCAATACAACATGGGACCAGACCAGCAGGCACGGCAGGGTCATCTGGAGATTCTGGAGAGCCCCAGCTAGCACTTGATACACGGAGCTCATGCTCCTTCGGTGCTGCTCAATTTCTGTGCTACAGCTGGTTCTAGGAATAACGTGGCTGAGATGGACCGTGCGCCCACCGTGAGCAAGACGTTGCTATAAACCCTATACATGCCTTATCTTACTTTCAACACACTTGTGGGGTGGATGATGCTATCATCCCATTTCGCAGGAGAGAAACTGAGGCACAGAGCTGTGAACGCCCTGCCTGTGGTCCCCAGCTGGTACGGCGGAGATGTGAGGACTGGTCTTTCTGGCTCTACAACCTGGCTCTTTTGTGTCCTGCGGCCTCTGTTCAATGCCTCCTCTCTTTTGGGTTCCTTCAATAGGCCACTTCGGCCCTTCGTTCCCCTCCCCTCTCGGTCTGGGTGTGAAGAAAAGGGCGGGTGCCCAGGTACCTGCAGGCTTCAAGCCATAGCAGATCTCGGTGTAAAACCTCCGGTCATAGCCGTCGCAGTAATGCCAGTGCTCGGGATCGTACTGCAGCCCGTCCGAGAAGGTGTACGTGCCCTGGAAGACAAGGAGCATGCGCGCAGGCATGAGGCTGCCCTTCTGCCAAGAAGGACGGATGTCAAGGGGAGAGGTGGCTTTCTTATTGCCGCAGAAGAGAAGTGATAACTATCACAGCCATTATGGCTGTAATGATTAGAAGGAATGGCTACAGTGCTGGGCTCTCTGTGACTGGCACTCAAAATGTGGCAACTCACTGCGCAATGCTGGGCAGATGACCGAGCCCTTGGTTTCCTCGTTTGCAAAACCGCATGATAAGAATATATATGTCATAGGGCCGATTCAATGAGATAGTACTGGCAAAGCATCTAGCACAGTGCCTGGCATTGAGTAAGCATTCAGTCGTAGCTGAAAAGGTCATGGCCATCAGTCATAGCCCTTTGTCCAAACATGTACGTTCTGCTTTTGCTGCCTTAGCGCTGAAGGAATCCCCAGGATGTAGGGGTCGCATTGGCCTGGGCATCAGGAAACATAGATGGAAATTCCGATACTATTAATTCACTGTGTGACCTTGGATAAGTCATATCCCCTTCCTGGGGCTTAGAGTCTCCAAGCTGTAAAAGAGGAATGTTTCTTAACCTTCTTAAGGTGGCTATTCATAAAACCAATGACAGCAATAGACCTTTCCTCAGAGAAAACTGTTCTCCCATATAAATCAGGACATTGCACTGGCTCCCTGAACTGTATTCATGGCCCACAAATACTAGGTGGGATTAGATGGGTCAGATGTTTGTCATGATACCAGTAGCGGTGACAGCAGCAGTTCTATGACCTAACACTGAATGCCAGCTCTATGCCAGGGACTGAGCAAAGGGCTTACAGATATCACCTCATTTGCATTCACAACCACCCTAGGAAGTGGCTAGTACTATTCCGGCAGGCTAATAACGATTCCCCAAGGATACCCACACATAAATGCTGGAACCTGTAAAAATGTTAACCCTATGTGGCAAATGGTACTTTGCAGGTGTGATTAAGTTAAGGATCTTGAAATGGGGAGATTTTCCTGGATTATCTGGGTGGGCCCAGTATAATTGCGAAGGTCTTTATAAGAGGGAAGCGAGGGGGCCAGAGAGAAAGAAGATGAAATGATGGAAAACGCAGAGAGAAGGAGAGGTGATGATGGAGGCGGAAGTCAGAGTGATGCAGGAAGGCAGGAAGCTTCTAGAAGATGGAAAAGGTAAGGAAATGGATTCTCCTGTTCAGCCTCTGGAAGGAATGCAGCATTGCTGACCTATTTTAGACTTCTGACTTCCAGAACTGTAAGGTAATACATCTCTGTTGTTTTAAGGCACTGGGTTTGTAGTAATTTGTTACAGTAGCAATATGATGTACAACTATTGTCCCCAGTTTATAGGGGAAGTCGTGGGCCCAAGGTCACACAGTTAGTGGCACAATAGGATTCAAACTCATCATGGCCTCTCCAGGGGCCCTTCTGGATCCAGAGGAGAAGATTCCAGAACCCTGGGAGATCAGTAGGAAGGGAGAAGAGGGAATGGAAGGAGGTGGGCACTGGATGGAGAGGTCAGGGTGCTCCATAGTGGGGGATTTTCCTGTCCAAGGCTTTGCTCTCTGCAACCTCCCCTCCTCAGGCTGATCACCTTCACGGCCAGTCCCTTTTCCCAAATGGCATCATAGCGGCTCCCGTTGGGGAAGTACAGGGTTCCTTGGCCATGAAACATGCCGTCCTTCATTTCCCCAACATACTTTGTTTCGGTAGGGAGGAGGTATTCGGCTTCGCCCTCCATCCTGCAAGGACAAAGGGAAATGATTGAACCGTGCATGGCGGCTGGAGGATCAGAGCTGACAGGCACAGGCAAGCAAGTGGGAACCTCATCCTCAGGGTCCTCTGATGTTACCGTCCCAGTAATATTTTGTTCAAAACCAAACTTTTTCTTCAGTTCCCTCAAAAATTAAAAAATGAGAGGGTCTGTGTTGTTGAAGGTGGGGGCAGGTGCAGTTTTGTCGGTCTTCCACCTTACCTACAGGCTGTCCTGGAGTTCACACTTCCCCCGACACACCCGTTGGTAGGCCCAGAGAGGGGAGGGATGTGCCCAAAGCCACACAGCACTGTGAAGCAGAGACTAGGGCCAGGTTTCCTGGCAGCTCGTTCTGGGTCTTCCCTGTCCCCCATGATCAGCCTACTCCTGCCCTCTATACCACTTGTAGAGAATTTGGAAAAGGATGAAACTTAGGAGACATAGGCTTGAATCTTATCTCACCATTTCCTGGCTGTATCATCTTGGAGACTTCCCTAAACCTTTTTGTTTTCCTTCCTTCCTTCCTTCCTTCCCTTTTTTCCAACAGATATTTCCAGAGCATCCACTATCTATCAACACCTACCATACGTGGTGAGTCTGGTCTGCAGGGTACAACCTGGTCACAACAATGATCAAGGCATACGAAGTAACCCCCCGCCCCTCGAGGGGGCGCACAGTCTAGTGGGGGACACAATGAAGTAAATACATAATGTGTGGTAATTGTCATGTGGGGGAAAGACAGGCACTTAACAGGAGCACAGGGCAGGGATGCCCAGCTTGACCAGCTGACCACTCATTTCATGTGTGAAAGTGACTGAGATTAATGCCCAAGATCAACTCAGATAATGTATAATGATTTTCCTAGTGAAGGGCCTTCCATGCAGCGAGTGCTGAAGAAAGACACTTCCCTTCATTTCTTCGTTCCTGTATTCCTTCTCTATTCCTCCCTGCTAGCTGACCTGAAGTCACCTCTTCTAACTCTGAACTTCTTTAGGCTTTCGTGTGTACTTCCGTTGGATGCTCAGCACTTTCTGCCTTGCATTGTAATTGTATTCCTTGTATCCCCTATTTCACTGAAGCTTCTTAATGAAGACCTTGGTATCCTTAGTTCTTGGAATCATGATTCTGTTCACACAGGTGCTCTGCAAACATCCGCTGCATAAGGAATGGAAACAGAAGGGTGCAGTGACTGAGCAGATGACAGAAGACAGAAGATGCCACTGTGCTTGAAGCACAGTTCCTGAGCCATGCAGACCTGGGGTCACCAGGCCCGATCCAGGCCTGGCTCCACCTCTGAGCCTGTGTGACCTTGGGCAAGCCCCTTCACCTCTCTGATGAGCCTGAGTTTCTCCTCTGTAAAATGGGGATAATGACAATACTCCTCCCCAAAGTTGAGATAATTGGATGAAATAATAGCTATGAAACAACAGCAGAATGCCCAATATAGACTAAGAACTCAAAAATGATTTTGCTCTTATTCTACTGCGAGATGTGAGAGGAGAGAGAATGCCTTTTCTCCTTTATCTCTTTGCTTGAAATCACATCTACCATTTCCGTTTCCATCAAAACCCTTCTCTGAGATTAGAACCCTGCTCCCTTTTTTTAAATGGCAAACTGGACATTCATTGTTCAGACCTTCTATAGGCATCTCCAGCTCCCCCCAAATGAAACTCATACTCTCCTCCTCCAGAGCAGCCCCTTCTCAGAGTTCTCAATTTCCACGAATGGTACCAGAATCCTCCAGGTTCAAAGCCTAGAGCCAGGCACTGAGTTGGGACTGGAGGCAGTCTCTGAGTGGGACTGGGAGCCAATCAGTTGCCAAGTCCTGACAATGTAAATTCCCAAACTTATACATCTCTCTCTTTCCTGCAGCCCCAGTGCCTTTGCTTTGGTTCAGGGTCCTGCTACCTCTTCCTGGGACAACTATGGGCTCTGACTTGATCTATTTCCACCCCGCCTCCCTCCCTCATTCTTTCCCTTCTCTTCCTCTCTTTCCTTCCCTCCCATTTTTCTTTTATTCATTCAAGGCAAAAAGCCTTCATTATAAATTCAAAGTAAGTTAAAAAGAACAAACGGGGGTGCCTGGGTGGCTTAGTCAGTTAAACGACCCACCGACTTTGGCTCAGGTCATTACACTGTGGTTCATGAGTTTGAGCCCCATGTCGGGCTCTGTGCTGACAGCTCAGAGCCTGGAGCCTGCTTCGGATTCTGTGTCTTCCCCCCTCTCTGCCCCTGCTCACACTCCATCTCTCTCCCCCCCTCTCAAAAATAAATAAACATTACATTTATTTTTTTTTAAAAAGAAGAGATAAAGACCTCAATCCATAGTGAGGACATGATTACCATATCACAAGTTTCTTTCTTTCTTTCTTTCTTTCTTTCTTTCTTTCTTTCCTCCTTTCTTTCCTTCTTCCTTTCTTTCCTTTTCCTTCCTTTTTTTCTTTCTTTTCTTATTTTCATTCTTTTATGAATTCTTTCAGCCAACATTTACTAAGTGACATATGCATTATGAGGAGAGATACAGTGCAAAGTAAATTAGATTTCCTAGTGCCCAGCCCTACAAAGGATCTATCCATCAGTGGCTCCTCCCACTCACAGAACTGTGCACAGTACTCAGATCTCTGTATGCCAGAGCACAGACCCACCCTTCCAGCTCTGGCCCCCACTCTCTTTACACTCCGGCCCAACTGAACTGCCTGCTCTTCCCCCTATAAGTCCTCTGAACTATTGCTCATGCTGCTTCCTCTGCCCGGAAACATTCTTCACCTTGCATCTCTACCCACCTAAATCCTACCCAATCCTCAGGGCCCATCTTCAATATTTCCTCCTCCAGAAAGCCTTCAAGGACAGCCCCAACTGGCCGTGTCCTCTGTAGAAGCCCAGCAGCAGGGCTCCATAGAAAGCTCATGAGCTTTGGAGTCAGACCTGGGTTTTGATCTCTGACCTGCCAAATGCCAATGAGGTGACTTTGAGCAAGTTACATAATTACTCCAAGCCTCACTTTTTCCATCTGTAAAATGAGGATTGTATCTATCTCATAGGGTTGCTGTGGGGAGGAGAGGATTCAGGCAAAGCCACTATCTGAAATTATCTTCCCATTTCTTTGTTTATTGGCCATACACCAACTAGACTGTAAACTCTATGAGAGCAAGGATCTTGACATTTTTTAGTATTTTTTTATCCCCAAATCTAAAACTGCAGATAGCAAACACACACGTATATATGGAATGAATATATCTCAGCTATGCTGCTTATTATATGTGTCCTTGAGCAAGTCACTTTACTTCACTGGGTCTCATTTTTCTTATCTGTAAAATGGAAATAAACAATCATATCTGAAAGCGTTGTCCCGAAGGATAAAAGGAATAAAGTTTGTGAAAGTGCCTGGCACAAAGTGCTTTGCAAAGGCAGCCGTCTTTAACCAGTCACAGATTTAAGACATGAGTCAGATGAGGCCCTTACCTCCCGTCTACATATTCCCCAATATATTGGCTCCCCGTGTACTCCATGACACCAGCCTCTAGCTTCCAGCTGTTGGGATCCTGGAGTCTCAGTGCGTCCCGCCTCACTATGACAACCAAGATGGGCGGGGCCGGCTCGGAGCCCCGCCCACAGACCCCACAGGCCTTCCAGGCACTGCGCACGCTCTATGGCTCGCGGTTGGGCAGAGCAGTGCGCCTGCGTGGCCGCCCGCGCATGCGCAGGCCCGAGGTGGCCCTTGGCGGTCGAAAGGGGATTTCAAGGAGACGGGGGCGACGCGGCTGCGGGCGCCTCCTCGGGGTCGGGGCTACCGCCGTCATGCCGGGGATAGTGGAGCTGCCCACTGTGGAGGATCTGAAAGTGCAGGAGGTGAGGCTCGTCCGGAAGCCAGGCAAGCAGGGCATAGGGCTGCAGCTTTTCGGGCCTGGGCCCAGCTCCGCTTCGTCTCACTGGACTGTGGGCCCTGGGTCCCCCCACCTAATGCCCCCCGACACAGACACAGGTGGATTCCCGGACGCCCCCGGCTCAGCTCCGGGAATCGCCTCACCCCCACCCCATCATGCAGGGGCTCTGTAGAAGTCTCCTCGCCTCCCCCACCCCGACCTCCTGCCATCTGCTTGCCCTTTACGTGAATAATAGTGGTACTTTTTATTAAGCACGAGCCAGGGCCACTTTACTTCCTTTAAAGTCCCTTAATACTCAGACCTCCCTGCGAAGTGAATATGCAACCCCGGGTGTTCACCGCCGAGCGAGAGAGACCGTCGCTTCTAGGTAGCCTAATCGGTACAGTGTTGGAGTGGAGCTAGGAAGCCAAAGCAAAAGGAGATGAAACTGGAGAGTGGAGTTGCTAACAACCCTGGGAGGGTGTTTGGTAATAGGACATTTAGAGCATTCATTTATTCAGGAGATACCATTTGAATAATTGCCATATACACGCACTCTGGAGAATAAGAGCGTCCCTGCCCTCATAGAGCTTATAATCTAATAGGGAGACAGACATAAAGAGGCAGTTACAGTATAGTGAAGTTTGTGCTATGAGAAGTGAAGACAGTATAAACTAATTATAGCAAGTATGACCAAGCCTTTTTTAGAAGTCAGGTAAGGTGCTGGTTCCTTCACGTACATTAATTCATCAAATCCTGCCAGCAACACTATGAGGTAGGATATTATTGGCCTCTTCATGTGAAAGGTAAGAAAACAGGTCCCAAGAGTAGAAGTGATTTTCCCAAAGTCATATAGCTAGTGAGTGGTGGAGCTGGACTATGACTCTAGGTCTGAGTTTCAAACCCGTGCTTTTAAACTATTGTATTATGGGTAAAAGCTCAAAAGAGTGAGAAGACTTTGCAAGACCTTTTGAGTCTAGGGAGACCAGTGCTGTTTGATGTGACTCTAGTGTTGGTGGGAATCAGCTGTTGCTGAGCCCAGAGAGAGGTACCTTGGACTGGAAGGACTGGGAAGCAGCTTCCACAAGGCCAGACTTATTTTAAGGTGACGTGGGAGGGAGAGGTTGAAGATTTTAAGGCAGAGGAGTGTCGTGGCAGGACTGGATAGTAGAAAGACCAGGCTACATAAGAGGACAAGGAGGGCAAAACTAAAAATTGTGTGCCAGAAATTATATCCCAGGCACTCTGTTAAGGGTTTTATCTTCATGACTTCAGTTAATCTTCTCAGATGCCTGTGAGAATGGCAACTATTATTTCCCACAGAGGCATAACTTTTTAGCTGTGTTCAGGGACTCTGGTCAAGTACATTTACGAGAGGGGAGGTTGCCGGTATTCAGTCTTTTGTTTTTTTCGTCCCACCTTGAGGCTGTGTTAGCCTGAAAGTGCTGTATTTTTCATTGAAAGTTTAATTTAACCTGAGGTTCTACTTCCTGCAAGTATTCTATATCTGGAATAATTTGCCTTTAGTGTTCATACCTTTGAACTGAAATACAGATAATTACATAAATAACTACAATGCAAGACAAAGTATGATTAAATCTATGGAAGAGGGGCAGACATGGTTTCAGAGCAGAGAGTAGGATTTGAAGTTGGATCTAAATTCTAGGCCTAACTGCTCAGTTACCTTGATTAGTCACTTGTAGCATCTGCAGACACAGTTATTTTATTTGTAAGATGAAGTGATTCCAGCTGTATAATTCTCTGAGGCTATAAAGGGAACAGAGAAAGCACTTCTCGGGCGTAATGTGGGACTTGGTGAAATGGCATTTGAAGAATAGCATTTATAGGCCAAGACGGACAGACAGGCTTTCTTAAGCGAGGGTTAGATCTGAGAGCGAAGGTGAAGAGATGGGAGGCCACAGATGGGTTCTGGAGACAGTGAGTTCAGTGCTCTGAGACAGCAGCAGGTCCCTTTTTGGAAGTGTCTTGGGTGAGAAGGCTGGATCCAGAAGGCTTTGAATACCCTGTAAAAAGTTTGGGCTTTATTCTGCTGTTAAGCCTGAATCCTTCCAGGGTTTTGTCGCTAATTTGTTTCAGTAGAGTACAATAAGAATTGTCTTCTAGGAAGATCACTCTGGCAGCCCTGTGAAGAATGGATTGAAGAGAGGAAAAGAAAAGGGGGACTAGTCTTGGCAGCTGTTGAAATAACGAGGAGGATATTAATGACCCCAACATAATTGGTGACTGTCCTCACAGAGGGGAAAGAACAGATTTATCTGCAATTGATCAGACTTAGCAGTGACTTAGATATCACAGGCAGGAAAGGTCGGGGAGCCTGTCAGATCTGCAACCTGACAGTGGGACTGGGGAAGCCAGAAGGAGCAGCTTTGAGAGGCAAGTTAAACACATTTTGGACCTTGTTGACACATCCCTGTGAAAGAAGTAGTCAGAAGCTTAGGGCTGGAACCTCCTTGTACAAACTGACAATTTTGAGCAGAAATAATAGCTGATATTTTTGATGTGCTTTCTATGTGCTAGCCACCGTTCTTGATATTTTTACACGTGTGAACTCATTTAATCCTCAACAGTACTATCAAAGGAGTACAGTGATCCCCCATTTTCCATAAATTAAGTCACATAGAAGTCACAGCATAAATTACTATAGAAAGAGGTGCAGACGTGGTTTAAGGAAGAGAGAACAGGACTGGAAGATTGGTTGTAGATTGTAAGACTTTTCCTGCCTCCCTTTCCACACCTGCAGACTGTATAAACCCGCTGTGCAGGGAGGCTGTCATGAGGGTAAATGAGGAAGATGCTGGAATTCTGTGTTCTTTGAGACAAAGGGAGCTGAATGAATTTGAGAGGGTATTCACAGTAAGCAGCTGGGAAGGGATGTTGTTTCTGGTGGAACTCATCCGTCTTTGTGAAGAAGCAGGTGAGGGGACATCTGAAGTCCTTTGCCACCTCAGCGAAGGCTGTGTAATGCAAAGAGGCTTGATTGAAGGTCACAGTCTCTGGATTCCAGCTCTGCGGTTGCCACTGGCCTGCTGTGTCATCTTGGGCACATCTCTGTCCCCAGGAAAGAGATTCAGTGAGTGGTTCTTATCCTTTATTTCCCTGTGACAGAGCATATTTTACACACTTAACAACATGGGTGCCCCTAGATTTTGGTAAGACTTCTACATTTGTAGGAAAGTAAGGCAAAGAATGTCATGACCTTTTTGGGCACAGTGGCTGTGAAGGCATTCGAGTGAATCAGCCATTTAAAGATCTTTTAAGGCATTGGTCAAGGAGGTAAGTACAGCTTAATTTTTTAAATATATTAAGCTTTAAAAAGTTTGAATTTTGATTTTTATTCTCTTGGCTTTGTACAGGTAATATAGCAAGTTAATGTATACCCCTCAATTAACCTAATACACTCTTATAAAAAACTGTAGGGGTGTCTGGGTGGCTCAGTAGATGAAGCGACTGACTCTTGATTTTGGCTCAGGTCGTGATCTCACGGCTCCTGAGATTGAGCCCCACTTTCAGGCTCTGCACTGACAACGTTGAACCTACTTGGGATTCTCTTGTTTCTGGAGCTCTCTGCCCCTCCCTCCCCCCAAATCAATCAATAAGTAAACTTAGAAAAAACACAACTCTATGGGGCACCTGGGTGGCTCAGTTGGTTAAGCATCTGACTCTTGATTTCAGCTCAGGTCATGATCTCACAGTTCATGAGTTCAGGCACCTCGTGGGGCTCTGTCAGGGGCTCTGTGCTCACTGTGTGGAGACTGCTTGAGATTCTCTCCCTCTCTGTCTGCCCCTTTCCTGCTCACACGTGCGCTCTTTCTCAAAATAAGTAAGTAAACTTAAAAAAACAGCTGTCATAAAATTTTACAGATTTTTAAACAAATTTATTAGAATTGTCATGGCAGGTTTCACTTGTATCATACGTTCATCTTTGCTTTGATAATTACAGCAGTTGTAATGTTAGTAGACATCGTCCTAACTATTCTCTTCCCATAGTGTGTAGATGAGTTACTCTCTTCATATTCCCTTGCCTTTTATCTTATTAGTAATTTAACCTAAGCTGTGTGAAAGTCATAAAAAATAAAATTATAAAATTTTTATCATTATAAAAATAATAATTACAACATTATTCTTAAATAAAAATCCTTAATAGAATGCTTATAAATCAAATCCAGTGATATCTTAAAGCATAATGCACTGTCACAGACTAGATTTTATTGTAGCTATAGCGAGAGGTTTTTGGAAGATCTGTTAATTCTCTACATTTATGGATAAAAGAAACCTGAATTTTTCAGTCTTTCTGGAAACAACAGTAAAACAGAATCATCAGAAAGAAACTTCCTTAATGAGGACTATCCAAACAACTATATCCCAGACACCAATAGCAAATATTGAACCAAATTTTGCTTTAAAGTCTAGAAAAAGGCAAGGATGCCTACTGCCATTGCTGTTCATTTGTATTGTCCTAGAGGTTTTAGTCCAAGCAGTAAGATAGGAAAAGAGAAGGAGAAAAAAAAGGATATAACTATCAGAAAAGAAGGTAGTTTTTACTCGTAAGTGGAAGTTTTTCCTCTTAATCCTCTTGTTGTTGTTTTTTTTTAAGTTTATTTATTTATTTTTGAGAGAGTGTGAGC